GGTATTATGAAAATAAAGCCCTGATAAATAGAATATTACAAAAATAAATAAGTAACCTTTGTCATATTATCGTATACAACTGACTTCTGTAGAATGCCTGGTCAAATACAACATTGCATTTTTCAAAGTTAAAACACTTGTTCATGCTTTTGCATGTTTTTAGAAACATCTCTTTGTGACCGATTGGGAACTGCATATGGATAGAAAAGGGGACAGAAAATTTTCCATAAAGTCATTTGAGAATAACTTGCTCCCACAGATTTTAATCACCTGGGGAACAGAGCTATAAAATTGGGACAGAATAATAACTGTCCTTATGAATTAGAAAGACACACGAAGATTCTTGTATGGTATTCTCATAGTGTATATCCTTGCCTAGCAAGAATCCATACAATTTTTTAGCAAATACGGTCCTCAGGAAAACAGCAGCTATAGCATAAACCAGTATAAGTATCTCACCAAAAGAAAATATTAACTCATGAGGAATGAGCAAAAATAAAGTCCCTGGAAAAAATAAATACAGTATGAAGATGATAAGCCATGAGATTAGTTGTGAACTACTTAATGCTCAAAATCAAAATAGTAGATTTTCTTCTTAAGGTTCTACATACATGCAGGAGTGGCTCGTGGTACAATAATGGTATTAGAAGATGAGACAGACAAATTCATGCTTTAAAGTCTGTAGTTCTTGGGGCATTTTGACACATTCTTTTTTTGTGAGAATAAGAAATTACATGTGGAACCGTAGATTAGGATCCAGCATAGTGAATGCTCTCATAATACTGCCTGGATTACACCTACAGCCAAAAACCCCACAGTTGCAGCTCTGTGGCTGTTTTCAAGAAGGACCTGGAACAAATTAAGCTAAGCCTGCTGCTGCTGCCTTTCTCTGCCAGTCATCTCTGCCATAAGCTGTACTGTATTTGCTGTTATACGTTTGTTCCTACTAAGTCAATAGCAGAAGCCTCATTGATTAAAGTGGATGTTTGATAAAAATTACTGGTAGTTCATATTTTATTTGGTTCTAATGGCAGGGAGCATGCATCTGTATGCATCTGATTGCAGGACATGGAAAAGTCTGCGTAACTCCTAAGCATCCCATTTACTTGGATTGAATTATTATGCATTATTAAAAATGGTTTGATAGTATTGATCCCTTCATCCTTTTAAATTCTGTTCATTGTAAGTGTCCTACAATTACAGTGCAAGTTGATGTTTGCTGCTGATACCAGTTCTCTCCGTACTTTGTGCCTGGTACTTAGTGATTTATTTTAGACATGTAAGTAGCCTGAGCAGTTATTGAAATCTGTGACCTTATTTACCTTATCTTCTATACAGTACTACTGAACTAATTAGCAGTATTGAGACTCAAGCCAACAAGGGCTGATTTTTGGTTATTTTAAGGCTTTGCACCAGGCTGACAGCATAAAATTACATTTACATTTACTTTCACTGAAGACCCTTAATCAGGAGGAGACATAATAATCTGTTTTCAGCTGAAATATAAATTAGGGGGTCTGGGGTTTAGTGCCTTTACTGAGATGGAGTTTTACAAAGTTTTTTGGACATCTTATTTTCCACTGAGAAAAAAAGCTCACACAAGAAATCTGAATAGATAAACAGTTTAAAAATTGGCCGTGACAATAGTTTTAGTAATATTAGCCAAGATTATCTTAAATAAAAATCACTATGTTGTAGTTAAAAGGAGATTTTGATTCAAATAGGGTTCAACACAGGTGATATCAGTGATATGCACTTTTGTTCAAGACTACCGTTAGAATAACGCATTCTACAGCATTTTTTAAGAGAAGTTTCATCTTTGAGTTTTGATAGAAAGATACAGAGGTAGCTAAAAAGTGAGACATATTTCTGCATCCCTCTCTCTACCGGTGTGTGTGTGTGTGTGTGTGTGTGTATTTGTATTTATAAATGTATGTGTGTATATTCATACAGAGACAAATTTTAAAGCGATCATAAACTGATTTCTACTTATGCAGACAACATTTTGCACATAAAAAATTTTCTGTGTATGTTTTTAAATAATGTCAGAATCTTGTATAAATTAATTTTTCAGGGTGTAGTCTTTATGGATATGTGGGTTAGAGGACAAATATGTCTGTTCTCAATACGCAAATTTGTATTATTATTAACAATATTCTCTTACTTACAGCTATACTCTCATCTGCTTCCTTTGCCCCAGTAGTGTGTTTAGTTTTCTGTAAAATGTGTGCACTAATTCATTATGACCTGCAAGTTTCACTGTAAAACAGCAGGTTTAGCAACAGACATACATGCAATATGAAAGTCACCTGATAGTTCAACCAATAGTTTTCAGTGATTAAAAAAAGTAAAATAAACATTCTCTCGTGTTTGGGGTTTTTTTTCCCTAACTCTGCTTTTCCTCTTTTTCAGATCTTCCCTTACCTTTCCCTGTAACACAGCATCTCACTTTGCTTTTTCCAAGGTTTGTTTTCTATGGATCATGAAGGTTTGAATGCTGCTAGAGTACCCAGAAAAGCCCACTCAGATACTTGGACTATTTGTAGAAAAATCATTGTACACAGTTCAGAATACAACGTCACATATGCTCTTAAAAAAAAAGTAAATTAATCCATTAGACTAAGTGGATGTTTAAGAAGGACTAAGTAGCTGTCAACCTGCAGGGAAGTCATGGGTCATCAGTGACACAGCTAAAGCTTCAGCTGTAATGACAGCATGGAGTGCTCTGCCTTCGGTCATGTTTGCCCTTCTGCCAAGCAGAAAACAGGTAGAAGCTCATGCTCTTCTCTAGCCTAAAGGTGACAAATCCTTGATAACCCAGGGGGGTGTTTTTACCATTACTTCAGCTTGTAAGTTGTAATGCAGACTGCTCAAAATTGAGCAGAAAGAACTAACTGGGGAAGGAACTGTTTCTATCTTACTCCTCCAGCTCATGAGCATCCAGATGCAACTCATATCAGCATGACTGTCATGAAGCCTGAAGACAGCTTTGCCTCAAGGACCATAGAAGAGCTCCCTACACCCAAACCTTTACCAGAGGTGGCAGAACTATCCCAGGTCCACCCAAAAACACAGCAAGAGAAGCCAACACATGCCACTGCAATAAGGTGGCACATTGCAGCCACTCACAGCCAAAAACCCCCCGGTTGCAGCTCTGTGGCTGTTTTCAAGAAGGACCTGGAACAAATTAAGCTAAGCCTGCTGCTGCTGCCTTTCTCTGCCAGTCATCTCTGCCATAAGCTGTACTGTATTTGCTGTTATACGTTTGTTCCTACTAAGTCAATAGCAGAAGCCTCATTGATTAAAGTGGATGTTTGATAAAAATTACTGGTAGTTCATATTTTATTTGGTTCTAATGGCAGGGAGCATGCATCTGTATGCATCTGATTGCAGGACATGGAAAAGTCTGCGTAACTCCTAAGCATCCCATTTACTTGGATTGAATTATTATGCATTATTAAAAATGGTTTGATAGTATTGATCCCTTCATCCTTTTAAATTCTGTTCATTGTAAGTGTCCTACAATTACAGTGCAAGCTGATGTTTGCTGCTGATACCAGTTCTCTCCGTACTTTGTGCCTGGTACTTAGTGATTTATTTTAGACATGTAAGTAGCCTGAGCAGTTATTGAAATCTGTGACCTTATTTACCTTATCTTCTATACAGTACTACTGAACTAATTAGCAGTATTGAGACTCAAGCCAACAAGGGCTGATTTTTGGTTATTTTAAGGCTTTGCACCAGGCTGACAGCATAAAATTACATTTACATTTACTTTCACTGAAGACCCTTAATCAGGAGGAGACATAATAATCTGTTTTCAGCTGAAATATAAATTAGGGGGTCTGGGGTTTAGTGCCTTTACTGAGATGGAGTTTTACAAAGTTTTTTGGACATCTTATTTTCCACTGAGAAAAAAAGCTCACACAAGAAATCTGAATAGATAAACAGTTTAAAAATTGGCCGTGACAATAGTTTTAGTAATATTAGCCAAGATTATCTTAAATAAAAATCACTATGTTGTAGTTAAAAGGAGATTTTGATTCAAATAGGGTTCAACACAGGTGATATCAGTGATATGCACTTTTGTTCAAGACTACCGTTAGAATAACGCATTCTACAGCATTTTTTAAGAGAAGTTTCATCTTTGAGTTTTGATAGAAAGATACAGAGGTAGCTAAAAAGTGAGACATATTTCTGCATCCCTCTCTCTACCGGTGTGTGTGTGTGTGTGTGTGTGTGTATATTTGTACTTATAAATGTATGTGTGTATATTCATACAGAGACAAATTTTAAAGCGATCATAAACTGATTTCTACTTATGCAGACAACATTTTGCACATAAAAAATTTTCTGTGTATGTTTTTAAATAATGTCAGAATCTTGTATAAATTAATTTTTCAGGGTGTAGTCTTTATGGATATGTGGGTTAGAGGACAAATATGTCTGTTCTCAATACGCAAATTTCTATTATTATTAACAATATTCTCTTACTTACAGCTATACTCTCATCTGCTTCCTTTGCCCCAGTAGTGTGTTTAGTTTTCTGTAAAATGTGTGCACTAATTCATTATGACCTGCAAGTTTCACTGTAAAACAGCAGGTTTAGCAACAGACATACATGCAATATGAAAGTCACCTGATAGTTCAACCAATAGTTTTCAGTGATTAAAAAAAGTAAAATAAACATTCTCTCATGTTTGGTTTTTTTTTTTCCCTAACTCTGCATTTCTCAGTTTCATTTCATTATATGAGCTTGGAAAAAAAAAAAATTGTGGGAGTTTTCCCACTACACTAGAGGGTTTGGAATTTTTGGATTTCACAAAAAGTGAAGCAGCAAATACCTTTTTTTTTTTTTTTTTTTTTTAATAATTATTGCTCAATTTTGAAATCTCCAGGCACTGCTGGACATTCTTAATGTAGTGGAAATGAAAATCCAAGTGTGACATACTAGAGAAGAGAATTAACTGTCTTTAATACTTTTTCTATTTATTTTACAGTTTAACAATAATGCTCAGAACGTCAGTTGCTTTAATCATCTTGTCCAAGCTAATGTGAGGAACAAGAAGAAGCTGAAAGAAGCTGTCTATAAAATCTCTGCTAAAGGAATTACAGATTACAAAAAAGGCTTTAGCTATGCTTTTGAACAGCTGCTAAATGTAAGTATGAAAGTCATCTCTCTCTGCTGTCAAGTGAAGAAGGAGAACTTGAGTGTTCAGATGGCCACTGCATGCTCTTCCATCACGTAACTGAGTGATAACCAGGACAATGCCTTATTTAGCAAGTTAATTTATCCCAACAATATGTTTGTTGAATTTTTTTCTCTCTTTGGAGATCCACTAGCAGGTTGCTAAGATTTGGGAATAAATTTGGGTTTCAATGTGCTGTACTGTTTTTACTTCATTTGATCAGTTAGTTTTTAATTTAACATGTGATTCTCAGTTGGCACATAGCTGTTGTAGTGGTTGATTTGCAGGTAATTTTAAAATAGAAGGCTACAGAATGTTACAGTGTTGTTTATTATTTCAGTTTTGCCACAGTATCTCCTAGCAATGTTTAGTTAACCTGCAATTTTATAGTTATTGCATGTCATAAATAATCTACTGTGGCTTGAGCAGGACTAAGGGGAGCAAATTACTTAGTTAACAGAGGAATAGTAGGCACCTGAGAGTATTCTCTTTCTCATTCTCATGCACAAAATTAATAGTTTCCTCAAAAATTAGATGCGTCTCCATGTTTTAGTTACATTGTACTTTCTACTTTACTCCCAAGCACTAGCTAAGTAGTAATGTCTCCCATTTATCACAAATGGGGGGGTTTATTAGTAATTTTTTTAATAGTTTGTGTAGTTGTTTAAAAATATGTCTATATTTCACCTTCATAAAGACTGCATATTGGATCTTCACCTTAGTATAAGTAGAGCTATACTGATTTACAGAAGTTAATGATCTAGCTTAATGAATATAAAGTGTTTGGGTTTTGGTTTTTTTTTTTTTTTTAAAAATTTTTTTTTGTTTAATATATCAGTTATGTCTCTCATTATACAACTGTTTAATTTTCTCCCCTGATCTGCCAGATTCCAGACTTCGGGGTGTTTCCCTGCCATTGTATATGCAGCTTAGGGCTAGAGCTGGTTTAAAAATTCCTAGGGCTGTTAAATTTTGATGGGTGAAAAGAATATATAATGTTTTCAAGGGTATTTTCTCAGCAGTTCTCTATTTAGATGAGCAGAGGGATTTGGTGGGGAAATGATTGTGTGCCCTCTGCTGATGGTTATATAAAACTGCAAATAGGATTTTAAAAGCTGTTGACTTTTTTGGACCAGGCAGAAGGGCATTTCCCCTTTTTCTTCCTTCCTCTCATTCAGAGAGAACCCACAAGACACAAGAAAGACCACAGCTCGTTCCTTGTAAGATTTTAATTTGATTAACAGTACTGGTGCAGCACCAGCTATGTACTGTGCGTGCAGGTGGTATTAAGAAGACCTGAAAACAGGGGAAGCCTCAAAGTGGACTTGTTTGTAGGACTAAAAAAATTGCTTAAAGAAATAACTGGTGATCAGTCTCATAGTGGAACCATCTCTCTCATATCTGGAGACAGAGATTAGCCTCACATGATCTCTGCAAGCCAGAAAATTATGGCTGGACACTGTGGCAGTGTATATAAAGGGAAATTAGAAGATTGCACTAGGTTATAAAAATACAGTCATCCTCTCCAGATACTGGCAGATCCATTTGGCAGGAGGAGTAAAGGGCTGCTGATGGAGTTAGCGCTGGACTCTGGTGACAAGACAATATAATAGGATGATATAATACAGGCTTAAACAAATAATAAAAAATAATATGCTTAGGGATAGCTTCCAGTTTTATATTTATGAATTCAAACAGTTCAATTGCTTTAAGGTCCATGGAAATGGAATAGTTTTTAACAGCCTAAATTGTCTTAATAATTTTGTGGATACTATTTCTGGATGACAGTTATTTCTAACAATTTTCTTGAATACCAAAGTAACATTTTACTTGTGCCACTTATTGTCTGATATGTTGCTAGATGGAAATAGACACTTCAGGTTTTTTCAACATACTAATTCAAGTATCAATAATCTGGATTCCATCATTTTTATGCAGTGTTTTTCCATTATTTATTGTTATATTAGTTTGCTATTTCTTCAGCTTCAGGAATTCAGGCAGTGTTTTTCCCCATACAGTAATAATTATGACTTGTCAAAAAAATTATCTTGAAATAATGTCTTCTTGATTCAAGTAGTTGATTTTTTCCTTGGTTTGCCTTTTCCTTCTTCAGTGGCATGAAACTCATAATGAACAATGAATTCCTAAAGTATCATGTCATGAGGCATAACCCTGACTTGCCATTTAATTAATTTTAAAGATGTGAAACTTGTATAAAACGAAAGCAATTTTAGGCACACCATAAAATGTTTTATTTCTTTCTTGCTTTTTTGAACAAAAAAAAAAAAAAAAAAAAAAGCCTTTATCAAGCACAAGAGAGAGCGAAAAATGAATACGTAGACTCAGTTCCAACTTGAATTTTTCTGTGGTTTAAGCTAAGAAGCTGGTTTTTGTCCTGGGGAAGCTGCTGTCTAAGCAATGCATTCCTCTTCAGCTGTGGTATGTGATGGGAGGGCAGAGCCATCCATTGAGCCGGTGGGGCAAACTGTTCGGAGAAATGATGAAATTATTTCATCAGCTTTACAAAATCACTTATATTCACTCCTGAGACAGTATCTCTCCATCTTTGTGGGGAGAAAAAAGTTGTGTTGTAAAGGCAGTTCTGCCTTCCTTTTGATCATTTGTAAGAAACTGGTCTGTAAAGTTCATTCATCAGGATGCAAAGTTTTTATGGTGGGAAAATATCACGATTTGAGCTTATTCGTATTCAGATTTCCGATATTGTTTGCAGGCTAAAATCTTGGATTTTTTTTCTATCACATGACTTTAGTGTCTAAACAGTGTACTATAAGTAGATGCCCTTCTGTTAAGTATGAGGAGATAAAGAGAAAACTGCATTTTTCTGATACTGTATTAACATATGCTAAGAAAGCTGCTAGAAAAATCCTGATTTAGTCAGTTAAAACAAAGACTAGCTCAAGTTCACATTGCCCATAATAGCACTTGTTTTAAAATCAATAGGCAAGTTTTATAATATAACCAGGCTTTGGTCCCCTTCCTTGTCATCTCTTTGGTTTCCCTCTGATTTTATTTTGTCCTGTATATTAAATCACTGTAAATGTAGGTGAGTTTCCTTATTTATGAAGTATCCAACTCTACTTTTATTACTTTTTTAATATCAAAAAGATTGCAGCCCAAAGCAGTATCTTGTAGGTTATATTTCACAAGCAAAAACTGGTCATAAATTATTTAATTCCAACTGAAACACAGTGTGATGATGAGATTGGAGAGAATGTATTGATTTCAAGTGGGTTTTATGTGTTGTTACATATAAGAAAATCTTTGGACTTGTTTTTTTCAAATGATTGAATAAGTAGTTATTCACTGAATACTGAACTACCAATAAAAATAATCTCTGAGGAATAATTATTCATCTGTTAATATAGCGATTGCAAACAAAATTTTTGTATTTTAGTTTTCTGGGAGCATTGTAGAACTGTGGAGCTGCAATATTGAGGGTTACTGGCTGATGTTTGAGGGCTAGCTTTGGTGTTTCAGTCTCTTTATTACAGAAGAACAAGGAATCAGATGAAAAGTAATGAAAGGGAGTGGGATGGTCTCACCTGACCAGCCAGGTGAAAGTTAGTCACTATCTAGTCACGAAGACTAAAGCAAGGGTGGACTAGGTACTTTGTAAGGATGACCCTCCTAGTTCTTCTCCTGACTGTACAGTAAATTCATACAGCAAAATGCAGGCTTGTGGAAGGGGAAGTTGAATTTATTTTACTGCATCTCTAAGGGTTTTACTCTGTCACATCCAACTACTCAGAAGTATCAAGATGTGTCTGACTAGGACCATTTGTCTGCTACAGACAGGACAAGCAGTGCTGGCTGTAAAATTCCTGAACAATTTGCTTAGACTAGATTCTTAACTTTTAGGGATTAAGGAAAGCAGATGAATGCCAAAGGAGGAGCCTTTGGCTTCTTTCATAAGGAGCCAAAATTCATATTCATCTCTGTTGTTCTGGCTGTGGAACAAGGTTTTTATTCCTTTGCACAAATATACTGTGTTTTTCTCAGTGGCTTCATGAGTTACTTTGACTGCTGAATTGGGAGAGGGGCTTCTTCTCAATACTCTTTATTCCAGGCTTGCTCTCCAGACGTAATGGAACACACTCAGTTCTTCACCTCTGAGTTGCAATCTAGAAAAGTAGGTGATGGAGAGATCTTAATACTCTAGGCAGCCATATCTTGGCTGCAATATATTATGTAAACCTGATTCTAAAATTATTTTCTAAAGGTTAGCTTTTCATTTCAGTGTGTTAAAAGATGATGATGATTATAATAATAATAATAATAAACCAGAAAATAATTAAAGAAGTGGAAGATAGAGCTTATTTTAAGGAAATGTGACAAAAATAGCAAATGCAAAAATATTCCTAAGTTTATACGGTAGAGGTTTTTAGATGTACATATAGAATGCCTAAATTATCAGAGTTTTCATTTAAGTGGTCAGTGAGCTTGGTACTTTCTGTGAGTAGGAGTCCAGCAGAAAAAAAAAAAAAAGAATATTCAGTAACTCACTAGAGGATCATTGTTCCCAAATTTCCACAAGGACAGTAAGGACAAGAAAAGAAGTAAGGATGAGAAAAGAGGAGAGTAAAAATATATAGAGGCCCTCACTGTAGAATTCTCCTGCAGAACAGCTGTAGAAGAATGCTGTGGGGTTGATGTGATGAGTATGAGCTAAAGAGCTTTTCTTGTTTTTGTGGCGGTGAGAAGAACCACCAGATCCTCATTCCTCTCTGTTGGGCCAGTTCTGAAATGAGTCATATTTAACTCCCATGGAACAGAACAATGATTTTGTTTTGGTTTTGATTTATTTTATTTTATTTTATTTTATTTTATTTTATTTTATTTTTCATTCAGAAAGGGGTATTGAATGAAATCCAAAAAGTCTTTAGAAGTTTTGCCATTACCATGTTAAAGTGGTAAGCATGTTGATACGAAAGCCATCAAATATAACAGTTGTTATTCCTTATAGCCTGAAATTTTAAAAAAGCTTCTGTTTGTATCTCCTACAGCACAGTGTCTCTAGAGCTAACTGCAATAAGATTATTATGTTGTTTACGGATGGTGGTGAAGAAAGAGCACAAGAAATTTTCCATAAATATAATGAAGACAAAAAAGTAAGTATATATGAAAGATTTTACTACATAAAATACAACAGTACAAAGAGGAACATTTGAATATGGAAGAGAAAAAAAATTTGGTATGTGTATAAAGTACTTTTTAAAAACTTACTAGTATTGAACCTTAGGTGACTTAAGTTTTCTCAGTCGATAACATTTCTGTGAAAAGACCACCAAATATATTTAGTATTTTACTCCTTGTGACTCAATGGTGTGAAGCAGTACAGAAATATACCACAAGCCATAAAGAATTAAACATTTTTCTTACATTAGTGTAATCCTTGCATTATCAAGCAGAAACGCAGGTAGCTAAATGATATGACATATATGTATATCTCCTCACTGTGAATATTTTCCACGCGTTTTTGTTGTTCATCAAGGAAAGGCAAAGCCACATCTCAAGGTTAGAATCTGGATCTGAATAAATTTGGACTGGAACAAACCCACATGTTTTTCCCAGTGAGGCTAACTACACATTTGAATGCCTTAGCTAGAAGTGCAATGGCTTTCTGTTGACGAAAGTTGATCTGTGGTTCAACCAGAATTAGGGGCTTGAACGTGAGAATCACTGGATGAGTTGTGCTGTTCAGATTAGATTAGATTATTACTTGTGATGGTTTTGATTTTAGTTTTTGAATCTAATCAAACTTCTGGTCTGGCTTTTGCATACTAGATGTACAAATGCATGAATATATGTTTGCATATGTGTGTGTGAAATAAAACAGCTTTGTAAATTGTCTACTACATTTCAGTGCAAATTATTGTATTTAGAAGATTAATCCCTTTCTAAATAAAAGTTAAATATGAGCTGGATTCATACTACAACTAAGAATTTACCTTTTCTAGTGCTTGGAGATGTGCCTATACATTTTTTGGTGGGATTTTTGTTTTGTTTTGTTTTCTAAAAAAGCAGCTAGAAGTTAGATCACAATTCACCACAACACTTTAACAGTTATCATGGACGCTTATATGTAAAGCAGTGAAAGTATTTCATTGGAGATCTTCATATATTTGAATTAATCCTTTCAAAAGGAGAATTAGAAATGCAAGAGACAGTTTCCATCTCGACCTGTGATTCACTCAGTGACCTTGAATAATCATTTTGTGTCTGCTTTATAATAATGTTTCACATAGAATGATACAGTGGGATTTAGTTAATCTTCATGTCTGAGCTGCAAGGACTTTTTAAACTGACAATTAGAAGGAAGAGCTGATATCATAGCAACTCTCTGTGTGGCACACATATCTGTATTCTGAAAATATATGCAGAGATCCCTCTTCAAATTTGGACTTGGTAGCTTTTACTGTGTTACAACAAAAGCCATCAGCTAAAAGAAATATCTGCATAAGGGGAAAGATGTATGGTTAATTTCTTATTATTTTCCATTTAATTTGCCACCCTAGGAGAGAAGTATAGTAAAATATGCAGTCCAAACAACAAAACAGATCTGTAGTGCTGAGATTTGCGATCTTAGTCACATCATGCCTGATGATTGATTATTCTGTGAAGCATAATAAATGAAATTTAGGATTTACCAATTTAAAATGGTCATTTTACTGCATCCTTTAATGCTGTAAATTTGCACTGTGAAGGGTTGGGTGGCTTTTATATGTACTGTTCTATATAATACAATACACTCGCACTTTCTTGTTCCCTTTACTGAATGAGGGTTTGGGGGTTTTATTGCCTACAACAAATGTATGATGGTGATAATGGTCACTGTATGGATTTCTGATTATTTAACTGTATTTTCTTATGTAATTAAATGCATTGCAGATGCAACACAAGGCAAATTTCCTACACTTGATTGAGTTCTATGTATCTACAGGTTCACATCTTAGTAAGCACTTACATTTTGTTACATGTCTGATAAAGCACTAAGTTGCTAGGTGCCATCCTTTACTGGTTTTCTCCAAGTTGACATTGGACATACAAGAAATACTAAGAAAGTTTTTGCAGGTATCATTTGAAGAACCATTTGCTTTCTCCTTATATTTTTCAATCAGTAACAATCCTTGTGGTGTTGAAGGGGAATTTATGGTTGAAAAACTTCTAATGAGATTGAATCAATAAATTCACTTTAGGAATAATAATGAAATCCCCCTGACAATCTTTCATAACATTCTAATATTTTTAAAAATAAGACTAATACAAAATATGCTTGTGGCCATGCTCTCCTTAGTAAGACTCCAGCTGATTCCAGAATGATGACATGTGAGCTCTCTTGTTCCCTCTCTGTGTAATTTAATGTTAATCTCAATCCAGTAGAGTGTAACATAATTGAAAGACATATTGTAACATGAAAAATACACATATACTTTTATTTTCGTAAAGTCATAGTCACAAACTTAGTGTTACCTTCTTAGATTGCATAGTAGGCTGCTTTCATCTATTAAATGGTGACGTATTTAAAGATATGTGGATCTAGATTCTGTTGTCTGTAGTGCATTTATTTTATAATTTATTTCACAAATAGCCCATTGAATATAAGACCAATTTTATCATTATCATTTGTAGAGAGACTATTCAATGTAAGGTGTTAAAAAGTTTTCTGCGTTTTACCGTAGTAGCACTTCGTAATATAAATATGTATCAGCTGATGTCTTTTATTGCCTGCTCTGCATTTGAACATTTTTCTTTGTGTTTTGCATAAAGTATATAGAAGTTGAATCTTTATTGTTTTATATCACAGCCAGTCACTTCCCATCTTAGGTACACTGTGTTGTAAACTTTTTGTTTTCTCGTTCAAACAAAAGACCATTAATTCAAATCTAGTAATCTTTGTTTTCATCTTTCTGATGTAAAATGGCTTCAGGTCTCGAAGTATTTTCTTCCTTGTGTCAGTTACTTTGTAATTCCTTGGCATGAAAGCAGTTTCAGTAAGTTTTGGCCCATCAGATGTTATGACTTAGTACATTTGTTTGCAGTGCCCTTAATGCAACCTTCAAGTTAATAAGTGAAAGAATACAATAAACAATTGGAAACTACTACTCTAGAATCTAGAGGCTGGAAAATTGTCCTGTTAAGTTAGGGAATTTAATCTGTTTGAAATACCATACAGATATATTTAAAATAATTTTCTGTCTTTACAAACCATTTACAGTCTGAATATGAGGGTTATTATAAAACTTATATAACAGTTTTGAGGAGGAACATTACTAGTTTTCATCTGTTGAAGTGGAAAATCACAGTTGTGTTTCACCTTTGCCTGCCTTTATAAAGCCAGATTTTATTGTCACAGATTGCAACTACATGCTGTGCCTGATATTTAAAAACTGGCATGTTTACCTTTATGGTGACATTTGGGGCACTCACATTAAATGTGTGAAATACCACACACGCGCTAAATTTCAGGAATGGGGGTGGTAAATTTTCATTTTATTTGCACTCATACTACAGATGGCTTCACTGAAGATAGTAATATAAATTTAATTGAAAAGTAGGCCCAGTAGGCGTTCTCCTGAGAATTTTGAAATCAGGTTGAAAATAGAAAACTAACTACAGCTCTTCAGGGCAGATTATGCACCCTGAAATCTGTGTTTTGAAGGACTGCTCAATTTATGTGAATAGGAAAAGACCTTAAACATGCCTCATGAACTTTCATTTGTTTAAAGTTTCCTGGCATGATAGAGGTTTGTGGATTAGTTGGATTGATCTGACCCACACAGGTAAGAGGATCTGACTCCTCAGGTAGGACAAGAACCGTAAGGTGGGTCTCATGTCCCATTCCCACAGAATTATCTGTTGTGATAATGCAACCTCATTTTGTGTAGATTTTTCTGACAATATCATTTGAGAGGAAATGGTATACAGAGAAATTTTCCAACAGTTTCATTAAAAAATATCTGTATGTGGCAGGGACAGAACTGCTACGGTGATAGAAGTCCTATGGGAGAAAGCTCCAGCTCACTGTAACTTCACTGGGAAGCTTATGAGTGGCAGTGGCTTCTTCCAAATGGGACACATTCAGCATGTCAATATAATGATAATATGAAATATCCATGAGAAAGCACTTGCAAACCTTTCTTCTAAAACAAAAAAATACCTCCTACTGTCATTACCAAAGGAGGGAACAATTTTCTTCATTGGTTTGAATCCATATTGTGCAACTGTAAGTCACTAAAAATAAAAAGAAAACTGTATTTATCTAGGCAATGGTGTATGAATCATTCTAGACATGGCTGAAAGCACTAGTCCTGACTACAAATGACCATTGAAAAAAACCATGACATTTCCACTTGGGGTAGCTATGAGATTCTCACCAGGTGTCAGACTGAATGAATGTAATTTTCTAGAGTTACTCATAGAGCCGAAATAGAAACAGCATCTTTCTCCACACTAATATCAACTTTGAATAGAGCTTAACAGCTGTCAAAGTGTACCCCAACAGTTCTTGCATATCGGAGAGTGTGATAGACTTGTGACACAGGATGTAACATAAAGTAATGAAATTAAGGGTTGAAGCAAGAAAAAATCTGGTTTATATCTGTATGGCATGTTTCATAGTTTGATAGATAAAATTTAAGCCAGTTTTTAATGTTTCTGGATTGTAGGTTGTTCTCTGGCCTTCTCTACATGAGCTTTCTGTGATCTTTAGACAACCAGACACTAAGATGTTTCTCGTTCCTCCTGATAGTCCCCCTGTGCTGTGAATTTTCTTGGAGTGATGGTACAGGAAATCCCATGTAGAAGAAATCTCCAGCTAGCTGGTTAAACTGGCTCCCTGGCTCCTTCCCTAATCACTTCTGTCTTAAGAGTGTGTCATCTTCCAGCTGTTAATTTTAATTTATTGTATGTACTGTGACATGCACAAATGGGAAAGCTAAAATATTCTGGGTGAAACTTGGGTCAGTACTTAAAAACTCCACAATCCATTCTTTTTTCTTTCAAAGTAAAAGTGGAAAATATGTTATTAGAGTACTCACTGAAGAAATATCTTATTCTTAAGGCAAATTATCTATTTTTTACCTCTTTCTTAGCTCGACTTACTAACAAA